CCCAGTAACAAACAACTTTTTTGCTAGTGCGGATCGGCCGTAATGTTACACAATAGACTATGTTACAGATGATTGAAGATCAAATGACCAATTTGGATATTTGGAGATCTTTGTTTTCCCTTCTTTGCATTCTTCACAGTTCTGTTTACTCTGTTAAACAATCTCCCAGGCGTTGTCTGTTAGTTCCTTAACGCTTTCCTATGGCAACAGCTCTGCTGCTGTCAAAATATGACTCGTCGAACAAATGAAACACATGGGTGCATTTTAATATATTGCATGAATTTAACCTTTGGGACTCCCTAACGCTGTTGGTAGTCATTGCCTCAAAGCACACGCATAAAAAACAGCAACAAATGCCAAATCCATTAACTTTGCTTATATCTTAAACTTCCTCTTCACTAAAAAAGGAGCACTTTTCTTTTTGAGAGACCTCAACCATACCTTGTTTTTCTGAGTATTATTTCAATCGCTAGTCGAATCCAGCATGGCTGGTGTGCAAAGGAAAGAGAGGTGGGAAATAATCAGTAAGAAAGCGAACCACAAACGTTAGGATCTTAACGTTTTCGAATCGGGCACACATTTGAGTACCTCTCACTTCTCCCCTTTCTTTAAAGTCGGCCTTGAAGGTCCATGGAGGCTACACGGGAACCGCAAACATTCACTCAAATAACTTCATGATTCATTCCATTGAAATGCCTCAGGGTTCGACAATATTACAGAATATGACTTAAAAGATCTAACTGAAGTTTCATTACATTTTGATGTTGCTAATACAATTGTTCTAACACAGAATGGCTACGAGCCGAGAGGTGAGGGGGAGCGTAAATTAGATCTGCCTGGTAGAATACTTTTACTTATTTATAAACGAAGGTTTCTTCCTTTCATATGAAACTCTTACTTTGAAAACTGAGAATAGCCAGTCAAACACTGCGTGCATCATGCTTGCGTGACTATTTCCGCAGCGAGTCGCCACCCATATAACAACCTTCTTCAAGCTAGGCTGACTCACCTTGTTTATTTCGGAAACGGTAGCTAATTGTTGCAGTCTTATTGCAAATTACATACAGAAGAACAGAGTCACTTACCCTTCGATTCCTGACATGCTCTGATACCTTGCAACGTCCATGGAAAGCGAAGGACAGGATCACTGAAAATAAAACAATTAGAGCATTACATCTCCTTTATCAAAATGCGCTGATGTGCGACGACACTTGTAAGGCTTAATTCTGTCTTGTAATTTCATTACATGTCACAATTTTAGTTCACTAACCGAAAAATAAGTAAAAGAGCCTCAGATAATCCATGGCAGCTTCAGTGCGGGATGGGTCAGGAAAGAAGAAGATAGGACGTGGTATGCTAATCCCGCGGTGTGAAATTTAAGTCGCCGGATTAGAAAGTGAATACTTTGTGCATTTACTGCGCGCCTACTGAACGTCGTTCCCAGGTCCCTCTTCTGTATACTCCTCAGCCTAAAGTCCGAGTCGTAGTAGAGCTTTTCCTGTTTGTCTAGATGGAAGATCTGTCAACAAGTAACGTACAATAAAAGCGACCCCAATTTGAAAAATTGGTCAAATTTTTGCAAATCGCCAAATTTTCGCCAATCTTCAAAGGAGCCGACGTCCTGCCTCGAAGGCTTCCAAATTTTTGGCCAACGAACATACACCTTTTGTTGACCATTAAACTGTCATGATTTTTAAGAAAAGTCTGGATCAATTTCATCAGAAAAAAATGCAAGTATAGTTTGGCGTGAAATGGCAGGATCTGACCCTCTCGCTTTCGAGGGAAATGAATTTGAGCGCCGCTTATTAAACTGACTGTAACTCATACTCTGAAAATGGTTATACTGGCAGCAAATTCTCCTTCTGTTGAGGATCAGTTCTTCCGCAGCACTTCGCGCGAGATTTTTTTCTATATCTTCTTAGAGCGAAATGAGTTTGTGATTGACGCATGAATCACTCAGTGAAATTATGATCGAAGAACATTTGTTTGATGCGACCAACTCCAAATTTAGAAATTTTGAGAATGATCGGTTGGCGAAAAAAATGGGAAGAATTTCAATTCGCTCTAGTGCGACCTTCTCCTAATACGACCCTGCTCCAAGAGTCATCGCGCGTGTTGTTAAAATGTTGCAGGTGTCACAGCGGATTTGGACCCCCCGCGGATTTAGACCCCCGGTCCAAATCCGTTAGCGGATATGGACCCCCCTTCGCAGATTTGGACCCCCTATCAAACTTTCCTTTTAAGCATCCTTTGTATCGTATTTGGTAACTAATTCTATTTGCAAGCTTTTTTGTCGATGTTCTTTTCAATCACAACAACATTTCCTCAATAAAGGTAAAAAAGGATATAAAAAAACCAGCCATTTCGTTCCAATTCTACCGCACTCATTACAGCGAGTCGTACAGTATACGCAGGAATTAGATGTGAACAAACTACTGCATTTGAACTATTGAAATTGTTACAATAAATCTTTGCTTCTTCTGATGCGAATCAACATTGTTACGAAACGTCATAACGGTACAGGGCTGGAAAAGCCTTCTTCGTTCGCTTTACGTTTGCATTACGACATCTTTTATGGATTACATAGTTCACAACATGTGCGTGAAAAGCGTAATATTTCTGGTGGAGAGTTATCAATTCATAGATTTCACAGATATCACAGTTACTCCCTAGGAAAAAAACGGAAAAGAATGACAAAGACATACTTTGGAATTATTTTCAAAAATAAATTCGTATTAAGCCATAAATTACGTTTTGACTGCGACGAATACATCAAAGGCATCGTCTTTCTCATGCATTACGTTACTCTCGCGGTTTTACCGTCGATGGCGAGTAAGCAGACCATACGTGTTACAGGTTTCGAGAAAAAAAAAAAGAGGGAAAAGTCTTTCAAAACCAAATTCTGAAAACGACATGTTTAAGTGTCAGCTTGGGAAGCAACCACTACATTTTTCATCTTTCTTTAAGAGAAGTATAAATTATAAAGCTTGCTGAAGATTTCAGGGGTGTCGTGTGTAGCCCTTGAGGGAAATTCACATGATTTCCGGCGATACTCGCAACCCTAACGGCTTAGTCCATTTTGCGAAACCAAACCAAACCAAGCGAGATATAGCGAAACTAAAGGAATAATGTAGATATATTTTCAATAAGGTAAAGATAACTTTTACAAGGATTTTGGAGTAATTGTCAATTGATGAGAAGGATTTTTATTCATTTCGCAAAGGAGTTACTATTTTGCGAAGTCAACTATTTTCACCCTAGAGTGACACGTGACCTCTTTGATGTGACAAGAATAGATTTAAACATAACAAATTAGTATATCACCAAAGATTTTGGCCTCCTCCCATTTCTTAAACCGTATTAAAATATATTTCGCCCTGTTTAATACAATGAACGTTGTAACTGTACATCTTGTTATGTTACTAAATTACCATGAAAACCACACCCTGTTTAGGAAGGGGTTATCAGCCTCTGCCGTCGGCTTCGGCTGGTAACTCCTACCGAGACCTTGATTATTATGAATATCACACAAACCGAATAAAAAAAAAAGAATAATCACAACAATAAGTGGAACTGATAATTCAGTTCTAAACGTGTAAAAATATACAAATCAGCAAGCAACACAAAGCGTGCCAACTTAACATGATTACCCCTAGAAATCATGCACCACGGTCATACATGACATGATTACCCGTGACCTCGAGTGTCCTTGAAATGATTATTGTATAATCTGCAGCTAGATGAGGTCCTTGGCGCTGATTTCGAAAAATCACAGTACGCTTTCGGCCAATCAGAAAAGAGATAGTGAGTTGAATGTATAATAATACCACCAAATGTGTTTGTAACGGCTTTGCCGAAGCAGTGTTTCTTTTTATAATGTCTATATTATTAAGCTCTGCACAAAAATCCAACCAAGAAAGTACTATTTATACAAACATAGGAACACCAATCACGGGCACCTCAATCCAACAGTCAAAATTTTCCTACTCTCGGCAGAGGATCCTCACATACCCCCTCACTTGACCCTCTCTCATTACGCTGGCAATGGCCAGTAAAGCACTTTCCAATTGTTAAAATGACTTCTTGTTAAGGGCCATGTTTCAAGTGAAGGTTAAAACGTGGATGGCCTTACTTTGTTCATAGGAAATTGACTGACTGACAAGATCTGTTTTAAACTTGGTGCTTCCAACCAGCAGAAATCCAATCCACCAAATCAACCTCAGCCAGTACTAAACCGGGTACTGGTACTGGTCACCACATCTTCAAGATTGTGTGCAACAATGACCATACCTTCCTTCTAAGCTGTGGGTAAATTGCTATCCCTTAACAACAGCAAAACTCTGTCCTCCTCCACATCCAATTAAAGAGGCAATATAATCATGCAGCTTAGAAACCACACTTGGTTGATGAACATTTCGAGTTTCATCTTCACTACCACAAATTCCATGCTCATTCCAACCCCAAGTCATGACTGAACCAGAATCTAAGAATAGAAGAATTCAATGTTTGTACACAAATTTTAAAAGACGAGTAAAATTGTGATCAGTATATCATGTAACTGACACTTATACCTTACCAAAGGTATCATACTATGCCTTCCTACAATATCAATGGATCACACACCAGTGATTGAAAAGTCAGCTAACACCACCCTCCCCAAAGAAAGAATTATTATTAGTATTCAGTATTCAGAGGGTTTTTTAAAACTTAGCGCCAGACATGGACAACATTGCTTCATTAAAGAAAGATGTGCAGATACGATGTCAATTTGTTACTTACCTAAAAGAGCCATGTTGTGTTCAGCACCACACAAAACCTAAATGTAGCAGATAGGGCAATCAGAATGCTTACAATTTTTACAATGGAGCTTTGTATTCTGCCACCTCAGAAAAACACAAATGTATGATTTACAATACTAAAAGGTAAATAAACTTCTTTTTCTATCTTTCTGTTTATCTGTCTGTCTGTCTTTGTCCTACTGTAAGTACATTTAGCTTTTGCTCTCAAAACTACAGAGAGGAGAAGTATTGTGATCCTTTGTAGGACACAGCAGTTTAAGTGCTTAAGTTTTCTGTACACAGCTAGATATTCTATGAAAAACTATAGTTTTAAAGGTTTTTAGTCAACTAGTAAATGCTATACCTGATTTGCTCCCCTGACATGAACAATCTCTGCTGGTTCGCTACTAAAGCCGAGTTGTACCACATCATCACCCAAACCTAACTGACCATAATCAGCACGGCCCCATGAAAACACTTTAATGTCTTCTGTAGGAACACATATCAAATTAATGAAACTGTGCATGAACTGAACAAATGAAGCATCAACAGTATGGTAAAACTGTGAAGCTGATAAAATTTAAGGCATCTAATGGCTTTCCCCCTACATATAGCTGTAGCCCTATCCATCTGGATTAACATGAGAGATTTATCACTATGTTCCCAATGACAACTAACTTGTATTCAATCAACAGTGTTTGCAAAATGGTGCATCTTGCACTTAGTTTACCATTCTGGTGTTCAAGAGTTGCATGAACATCAGATGGTTTTGCTTTGAAAAATTAAAATTGAAATTTCTATTTTCAGGCTTTCCCAACAGTATGCAAAGTACAATTAGTACCATAACCAAATTTTATTCATGCTATTAGGGCATAAGATTTGTTATTGCCAATATCACTCTACATGTATATTTCCTGTTGAATATTTATCATCTTATATCTTATGTTCATTCTTAAAATAATACTTGACAAATATTTTCATTCAAGGGATGGCAAAGTTACCTGTGACAGCCAGCAGGTGGCTCCAGCCTGTGTGGACTTGTGTAACAGTAACACTTGTTAATAATCCACCAATCAGCTGTGGTTTAATAAATATTTGATGTTCAGTTGAATGGATATCTGGAGGTTTGCCACACTGTCCATGTTGATTTGAGCCCCAACAGAAGACATGACCTGAAGCTGAGCATATTCAGATTTACCATCACATTGAACTATCTTCATTCACAACATGTCACCTCATGGCAGTAAAGCTGAAGCAGTACTTTGGGGAGGGGAGGGAAGCCATATCAGGACACCCCTTTTTTTTTCTCTACATTTAGAACAATTTTCAATTGAGCAGTCAAAAGTGATCCTGGTCTGCTTTGGTTTCACTTTACTATGCTGTGTGATTGGTCCAGAAAACCTGCACGACTGTCTGAACAACTAAAATTCAAAACTTGGTCAGTTGTGTTTTCCAGCATTTTAAGCAGGTTTCCTGCCCTATACTTTGAGTTCAAATTGGTTCATGATGCTAATCTTTCAAAATTCAAAACTTGGTCAGCTGTGTTTTCCAGCACTTCAAGCAGGTTTCTTGCCCTATACTTTGAGTTGAAATTGGTTCATGATGCTAATCTTTGTTCTAATTGGTGGTTTTGATTACTTTCATTTTGGTTTTTTGACACTCAATAGAAAACTGTCCAACAGCAATATCTTAAATTACAATTTTCCCACAAAGATCAATTTGTTACTCTTTGTAATTTTCAAACATATCGACACACATGTAAATGAGAAAAAAAACTGAACAATCTGAAAAAAATTGTAAAAATTCTTCTAACGACAATGGCTAAGTGAAGTTTTCAAAAGAGATCAACACAATAAAAAAATAACTTTCATAAACTCTTACTTGTTAATACTGCTGAATGGTATGCTCCTGCCACAACTTCAATTATCTGCTGACCATCTGAGAACAAGACTATATGCAAGTTTGAAGAACTATTAATACCACAGTGCTGATATACACCCTCTGTAAAGAGATTTCATGATGTTTCAGCACTAGAAAAATATCACAGGCAAAAATATTACACCAACCCTGTTGTGGAGTTGAGCAATTGCCACCAGTTTTCCCAATGCCAAGCTGTCCCTTCTTATTTGCTCCCCAAGACCACACAGATCCATTAGCTTATGTGAAAGATGAAGAAAAAACATTACTGATTTGGAGATGTCAACAGTGAGATTGTATGGTGTGCAATGAACCACTTCCAATAAACTTCTCTTTTCAATATCAATGAATGATCTAGTAAATATGTGGTGAGGGATAAAATTATCAGCTCTGAGGGTATCTTCCTGATATAACAGGGTTCTCTTAAACAATGCACAAGGGAGTGTATAGTAGCTGTAAGGGAAGTGAAGGGTTATAGCAAGTGATACTTGTCTAAGACTTAAATTTTCAAAACACAATATTGTAAATGTCTCACGACATGTACAATATGATGCACAAGGTTCTGTCAGCTGTTAATTAAATGCACAAGTAATTAACAGCTGACAGAATCCAAAAGACAATTGTATAGACCCCATCATCTTGAATACCAAGGGCAGTAAAAGTTGGTTGAGGTAGCAGGAGTTTAAAATAAGGGTTTTCCCAGCAAACTTAAGTATGGTGTGTCCAAAAAATGCATACAATACTTCTATTACAAAAAGTTTTAATGACAAGAAACTGAAGCACACTGAAAGACAACAATAAGAATGTCATGCTGTTTTGGTGTGAACAGTAAATAAATTCACCAGTTGTGTTCATCAGATTTTTGCAACCAGTCCATCCCACATAAACAAACTGAATTCAGTGAGAAAAGATTGGGTACAGGGAGGAAAGGCTACTCTGTTGATGAATTTTTAAAGACAAATTTTTATAATGTTCTTGGAACAAAAGCTGCACCATTAGGGTTGTAACGCAGTCTACCCTTAATCTGGTGAAATCCTTAAATGAGAAGTATACTCTAAAAGCTGGTTAATTTTTATCCCTGTTGTCAAAAAGTGTACAGGAAATTATTTCAGTGACTGAATTTTGAGATTTGAAAGTGTACCCTTATTTTGCCTGTTACATTGCTCAATAACCTGGCAGTTAAACTGTAGTGTAACAGACTTAAGTTCACAACATGGTTGTACTGGAAAATTCATACTGCACCAGAGCTTGAGCTAAAATGAAGTGTGTAACCAAACCTAGGACATTATGCACGATTGGCAAGGTTTGTGACTTTTTTACAAAAGGTCTCTGTCAAAATCCTATTTTTAGTACATATTCAGTCAATCTTAAAAAAGATTCTGTTGTTCCTTTGAACCTCAGAGGCAAAATAAAAAATACACTTTCTGCAATATATTTCTTCTGTAAAGCTTTGTCTGACTCACCCAAAGCAACCAGAGAATGCCTTAGTCCTGCTGCAGTACTGATGACTTCTTCATATGTGAAATACTACTAGAGAGTAGATAAAGAAGAAAAAGAAAGAAGAATTCCTATACATTGTTGGAAGTGATTGAGTTGCTGACTGAACAAACATGGCATTGGGAAATCAAGAAAACAACTATTTTCTGGACAGGGTTGTTGATATATTTTAACCGCATAAATGCAGTATTGTGCAAGAGTATATGCAAACAAAATACAGCAAATTTCTTTTTTTGTTCTCCTAATCTTTTGTTGAAAGTGTGAAAAAATTTATGACTGAAAGCTTAAGCCCTTTTAAGCAACATTTCATTAGCACAAGGGATGATTTTTTTGTCACATTTTTT